CCTTCTCCTCCGACCCTCCCATCGTAAAGGGCAGAGCGCAGAGCGCGCCCCGGGAGCCGGCGGACGGGCGCGGCCTGCCAGACTGCCGCGCCGCCCGGCGCGCCGCCCGGGCGTGCAGCACCGGGCCCACCTGGCGGCGCCGCGGGTGGCCACGGCGAGTGGCTGCGCTCCACGGCGCTCCGCGGGAGGGCCCCGCTGCTGGGAAGCCCACCACCACCACCATAAGTTGAAGGGAGAGGGGGTCCTCCTCCTCCTCCTCCTCCTCCTCCTCCTCCTCCTCCTCCCCTCCTCTCCTCCTTCCTCCTCTCCTCCTCCTCCTCCTCCTCCTCCTCCTCCTCCTCTTCCTCCTCTTCGGCCTCCTCCTCCTCCTCCACCTCCTTCCCCCCTCCAGTCTGCGCCCGCCCGTCGGAAGCTGGGCGAGGGCTGCTAAAACCGTGGCGGCCAAAACGGCCCTCCCGGGAGGAAAAAAACACGTCCGGAAGAGGCGCGGCACGCGAAGCAAGCAACGGGCGTTTCTTCTCGGAAGGACGAAGACAACTTCCCGGAGGTCGATTTTAGCAGCCACGGATTTAGCAGCCCTTGCCCGGCTTCCGATCTGCACTGCCCCGCGGGCGCCGCACGGCGCTGCCAGGAGCGACTTCGTGTCCCGCGCCCACGGTTACCTCGGGCAGGTCCCCTTACGGGCGGACTCGGGACGAAAAATGGAAAAAATACCGCGAAAATGCCTTCAAACATGCTCGAAAAAGAATCGGAAAATCGTCCCCTGACCATTTTTTCACTCTTTTTGAATACTCCTCCTGTAGAGGGACACGCCCGACTTACGCCCACGGGGTGGAGGAGCACAAAGACGTGCGGAGGGGGGGGAGGGCGGTGTGGAGGGGAGGGGAGGGGGGGGGGGGCGAGGTCGAGGATCTTTGGGGGGAGGGGGGCGAGGCTCGAGGCCCCCTCTCCCACTCTGCCTAATAGCCACCCCCGGCCCTTCTTCTCCCCTCCCCACACGTGATTCATAACAGTTGTTTTGGCTTCCTCCCCTTTCCGCTCGTCCCTCTCCCTCCCGCCCCCCCAAGGGGTCCCCCATGCCCTCTCACTCTGCCTCCCTCTATCCTCTCCCTTCCCCCCTTCCCACTCTCAAGTTCCCGTGTCTGGAGGCTCAACCACTTCAAAAGACGTCCCAAACAATAGGACACAGACATCCGGAGCAAACGGATAAATCAGAGTAAGGGGGCCAAGCGGTCATTCACTGTGCCTGGGCGCGTGGCTGAAATGGGATGCCACGGTGCGGACTGCTGTTGCAATGTTGCTTTTGTTGCATTCGAAATTCTAAAGAACAGTTATTGTTGATTCCCCCTGCCTGGTGCACATGGTGTTTTTCAAGTAATGTGTTCCTCCCTGGGCTCGCACCATTTTTTATCAGGGACAATACTTGGGCTCAAAATGCCCCCCCTGGCCCACGGCCTACAACAGCAACCAACAGTAACAGCAAAACCATCAATAGCATTAACAGCAGAAGCAGAAGCAGCAGCAACAGCAGCAACAATAGCAACAACAACAACAACAACAACAACAACAACAACAACAACAACAACAACAACATCAACAACATCAACAGCCACAACAACAACAACAACAACAACAACAACAACAACAACAACAACAACAACAACAACAACAACAACAACAACACGACAACAACAACAACACCATCACCAAAAACAACAGAAACAATTACAACGACAACAAAGTGAGAACGGATTCCTGGCACCGGGCCCCCAGGGCACCAAGACCGGGGACTCTCCTGTCCTGGCGAGACCTGGACCCTGGGACTCCGCCCCAAAGGGCGAGGGGAGGGGGCGCAACCGCAACAAAGCAGCTTCTGGTCCTACCACAGGTCTTTCAAATGAATACTAGAGAGTTGCCCAAGGGGTCTCTAAGCAGATCATCGATGTGCGCGAGAGCGGAGCGAGCTTGTCCTAAGAAATCTCTGGGGATGGTACCGGAACTACTGAGAACTGCTATATTGATCGTGCAGTAGCTACTGGGAAATCTATAGGGATAGTACAGGACCGACTGGGAATTCTTAAGGACGGTACAGGACCTAACTGGTTCATCTATAGAGATGGTACAAGACCGAATGCGAACTTGATAGGGATGGTACATGACCTGCTGTAATGTATATAGGGGTAGTACAGGACCGATTGGGAACTCCAATTGCAGATTGGGAACTGTGAAGGGAGGGTACCAGACCTACTGGTAGCTCTACAGGGCGGGTACACGACCGATTGGCAACTCTGTAGGGATGGTACCGGACCAATTGGATACTCCATGGGGATGGTACAGGACTGATTGGGAACTCTAGAGGGATAGTACAGGATGAGCTGGTACTTCTATAGAGAAGGCACAGGACCACCGGGAACTCTACAGGGAGGTAACCCTCATAGGGATGGTCCAAGACCAACTGGGAACTCGATAGGGATGGTACACGACCTACTGGGACTTGATAAGGACGGTACAAGACCTACTGGGAACTCCATGGAGATGGTACGGAGACCAACTGGGAATTTCATATGGATGGTACACGAGGTACAGGGAACTCTAAAAGGTGGTACAGGACCTATTAGGAACTTTGTTGGGATGGTACAGGACCTACTGGGGACTCTATAAGACGGTACAGGGCCGACTGGGAACTCTATAGGGATAGTACAGGACCGACTGGGAACTCGAGTAGGGATGGTCCAAGACCTACTGCAAACTTCATAGGGATGGTACAGGACCGTAGGGATGGTACAGGACCAACTAGGAACTCGATAGGGATGGTGCAGGACCTACTGGAAACTCTCTAGGGATGGTACAGGACCTACTGGGAACACTATGATAGTGGCACAAGGCCTACTGGGACTCTTTAGCTCTTTAGCGATGGCATGGCCTGTACAAGATCCCTGTCACCCACCCCGCAACCCACCCGCGACCCACCCGCGACCCACCCCGCGCCCACCCCCTCACTTTTTTCCGCAACTACGGAGTGCGACTATTTTCATCATGTGAATCGAACCTTCATCCTGCTTGTGTTCGCTGCTCTGGGTTTCCTCGCCCCTTCCTCCGACTCTGGGTGCATGTAGTATCGAGTCGCAGTCGCAGGGTTCCTCCAATTTTGGGCGGTGGCGGCACACTGAATAGCGGGCGAATGGGTGGGGTGCACTCGTGCGGAGTAAAGAAATACGAATTCCCCCAAAGCGCCTTAAGCTACCCCGCCCGACCTCCCGCACCAGAGGCCTCCTGCAATCATGCAAGCGCACGCCAGATTCAGCGCTTGTCGGCAGAACTCCCTGGCCCTCGTGGAAGAGGTCTCCTGCAATCATGTATGCGCACGCCAGATTAAGCGTTTGTCGACAGAACTCCCTGGCTCTCGTGGAAGAGGTGATCGGCGAACCCAGACAGGGGTCCTGCTCTTTGAGTGGGGGAGACGAGAGCGGGGGGAGCGGGGCGGGCGGGTTCTGCGAAAACCCATGCTGACAACTCGACGCCCCGTCCGAAACGCGCAGCAGCGGCCGGGCCACGAATCCAAGACGAGCTGGAAGTCGATGACGTCGAAGCCCCCAACGTGCGCGAGCTCCTGCACTGAGCTGGGAGCAAGCCAGTGAGGAGGAGGAGGGGAGGGAGAAGGACGAGAAGGGAAGAATAGCAGGGGGACTCAAAGAAGAAGAGAGGGAGGGATTGGAGGGAGGGGGGGAAGAGAGGAGGGAGGGAAAGATCATGACGATAACGGAACGCAGAGGAAGAGGGCAACTGTAACAAAAACGGGACGGGGGGGGTGAGGAGACATCATCTCGATAATCGTCATCATCGCCATCGTCTCCATCGTCATCGCCATCGTCATCTTCATCATCATCAGCCTCATCAGCACCATGAATCATCACCACCACCAGTATCACCATCACCATCATCACCATCAGCATCCTCACCGTCATTAGCATAATCCACAGCATCATAGTTATCCACATGAGCATCCGCATCACCGTTCTAAAATTCGTCATCATCACCACCACCACCACCATCTTCTTCGTCCTTATCCGCATCCTCGCCGTCATCATCACAAGCAGCATCATAGTCAACGTCATCGTCACCGTCACTGTCACCGGCACCAGCATCACCCCCATCCCCATGCATCACCCCTCACCCCTCGTCGCTGATCTTCATCATCGCTGATTCTTTCCCCCCCCCCTGATTCCTGATTCCTGACGGAGGCAAGATCCCCTGGATGTAGCCCCCTTCCCCGCCCCCAGGGCCAATCGGCCCTGGGGGGGTGATCAAACTAGGGCCCAGCGGCCCCTGGAACGCCGCTCCAAGGGCCACCGGGGGCGCGGTAAAGTTGAAAAAGCGAAGGGCGACGACAGACAGAAGTCGAGGAGAGGGAAGGAGGAGGAGGAAGGATCATGACCTCAAGGAGGTTAGATGGGAAGGGGTGGCCAGTGGCGGCCGCTGTGAGTGCGGCGGCAGTGGTACAGAAAAGTGGGCAGGGGCCCTGTGGCCGTGGATTCTGTCGCTGCGCCAGAGTTTCTCCTTCGGGCCAACGGGTCGCCTCGGGACAGCGACCTGGAGAGCGCCCAGGGCCCCATTCTTCTGAGGCGCCCTTCTTAGCAGAGGTGGAGGTGAGATGCGGAAAGCACGGTTACGGATTTGAAAGAGGTGGCGCCACAGAAGCTCGCGAGCACGGCGATGCGCCACGCGCGGCGAAGGTAAGATGAACGCGAGGAGATATTAAAGAGAAGACCGCTGGCGGCTGAGGCAGCTGTCGGCGGCCGAAGGCGACTGGCGACAGGCGCGGCGGCGATGGTGGGCGGCGGCGTTCCCGAGCCCCACGCGCCAAGGTAGACGGCGCAAAGGCCTCTCCATCTGCTCATGGGAATTCCCCGCGGGCGCCCCCGGAAGAAACGGGTAGAAACATAAAGTGGGAAAGCGTGGGAAGTAGATTGGGCTTCTGCCCACCCCTTGAAGAGGAAGGAAAAGGTGAAACCGCTCGACCATTGAAGTAGGAAGGCGCAGAAAAAGCATTGGGATCTGGGCATCCCCAAATGGCTACTTTCAACGACCGACGCGTAGGGATAGGGACATGTTCCGAGCTGGCACGAGGGAGGCCCGCAGCCGCAGCATAGGGTTAGATCGGGCATGTCCTCCTACAGAAGAATGTTGGAGGGAAAGTTTGAAAAAAAACAAAACAAATGTGCGAAAAAAATGTGTCCAAAAAAGCAGAAAGCAAATTGTCCCCAGAGTCTTCTCGATTATTCCTCCTGTAGAAGTACATGCCCGACTTAGGCATAGGGCTCCTCCAGCATCGACCAGACGGGCAACGGCCACTGCGTCACCGGCCGCCGCCTCAGCGGCGCAGACCCCCGCCGTCGTGCCAGAAGCCCTCGGCCCGATTCCTCCCCCCCCTTCGCTCGCCACCCTCAATGGTCCTCCTCCCCGTCCACCTGCCCCTCCTCATCCTTCTCCTCGTCCTCGTCCTCGTCCTCGTCCCCCTCCTCCTCCTCCTCCTCCTCCTCCTCCTCCTCCTCCTCCTCATGCTCCTCCTCCTCTTCATACTCCTCCTCCTTCTCCTCCACCTCCTCCTCCTCCTCCTCTTCATACTCCTCCTTTCTCCTTCACCTCTGCTGCCCCTCCCTCTTCTCCTTTTCCCCACCCCCCCCCCTCCCCTCATCCCGCCTCCTCCTTCGTCTGATATGTCTCTCTCTCTCTCTCTGTCTCTCTGTCTCTCTCTCTCTCTCTCTCTCTCTATATATATATATCCCTCTTTCTGCCTCCTCGTCCTCCCCCTCCTCCTCATCTTCCTTCCTCCTTCTCCATCTCCCTTATTCCTCTCAACCTCTTCCTCTGATCAGTATGAGTCGCGGTAGCCATAATAACATTGCAGATAGCATTACCGATGGTAGGAACCGTACTACATGATTAGCGTGAACATCGCTATTATGATGAATAGTATTACGGGTGCTTGTGTTGGTTCCGTTACTGCTCTTCCACACTCGTCTTCTAATGAATCGCAGTGTTACTAGTTCAACTCCTTCTCGTCCTCCTCCTCCTCCTCCTCCTCCTGCTCCTCCTCCTCCTCCTCCTCCTCATGCTCCTCCTCCTCCTCCTCCTCCTCCTCCTCCTCCTCCTCCTCCTCCTCATGCTCCACCTCATCGCAATCGTTATCCCACAAGCAGGGTCGGCTCACGACGAGCCCGATGATCGAGACGGCCCCAGAAGGCCGAAACTCTCCGGGAGGAGGGAGAGCAGGGAAGAAGGACCAGGTGCCGCCCGTCGTGGCTGCTTCGTGACTAGAATCACGCGCGCACTTCGAGCTCTTAGGCGGTGAAGGCTAGCGCAGACCAGGGCAGCGTCTCGACAACCTACACACAAGAACGCAATCCCATGATGGCCACCATACAAGGAAAGGGTGCAGACTCAAAGATCAGAGTAGCATGAGGTACGCTTGCACATGCTGATTCAAGGGGCCTTGGAACTGCCAAACAGAGGCAGGGGGGCAAGACATGTGTCCTGGGCAAGGGGTTGGCAACTCCTGGCATCAAAGGGCGGTGACTGAGAGAAATCATAAGATCGGAAGTGAGGGTAGTGGGTTTGCACCGTGAGACATCTACGTAGCCGACTCTGGAAGATCTGTGACCGCCTTGGTCGCTAGCATTAACCTATCTCGGTAAACCAACGTGTTTCCGCCAAGATCCACCCGCTTCCGCTGGGCACACCGCAGTCGCTTTGCTTCCGTCAGCTTTCGCGAGCCTTCGGTTGACTCTCGCCAAGGGCACGAGCTCCACGTCTCGAGGCGGAACAGATGAAACCAGATTTGAAAGATCCTAGAAGCCTCGTCAAAAATAAACAGAAGACTTCTGAATTCGGTGATTGTGGGGCCAGCGCTGCTCCAATGCTGACGGACGCCTGTTGACTCGGACGCGGTGCCTTCCAAAAACCGACCCCACGCGGTGCTCCAGGATCTCAGCTTCCGTTTCTGGATATGTTTTGACGGGGCTTGTAGGTAATGGGTGCGTGCTTGAAGGAAAGGGCCGTTGGGCATACAGTCCCCGAACCGCGTAACACCCGCACAGGCAGGCCTTTTGAGCGCTGTGCAAGAGGCTCGGAGGACCGGGCAAGGGAGAAGCCGGGAGAGCAGAGGAGACGTCAGGCAGGAGGGCCGGGGAGGTGGCCGGGTGAAGAAAACAGGAGGCTCGCAAGGCGAACCCCGTAGTTCTCACCCTCATCCTCCTCCTGTCTCTCCTCATCCTCCTCCTGTCTCGCCTCCTCCTCCTCCTCCTCCTCCTCCTCCTCCTCCTCCTCCTTTCTCCACTCTGCCTTCCCATCCCGTCCTCCTACTGTTCCCGTGTTTCCACTGGAAGCAAAGAGGAGAGCGGACATCATCATGAGGAGGAACCATGAGGGCAGAAGCACGAACAGCAGCCCATCCATTCGTGAATGATGCGCGCTCCTGCTCAGGCAGAAAGAATGGGGGCCCGCCCCGCTGCTGCCCTGGGCCCTGCCCACCGGCCTGCCGGCTTCCCGGGAGGGAGTGCGGCGCGGGGCCTGAGGCAATCTCGCACGATGCTGGTCAGGGCCTGCCGGCCGTCGGAGGGGGAAATGCCGCGGGAGGGAGGGTGCGGACGCCGCGATCGTGCGCTGGTACCTCCTCCTCATCTTCCTCCTCCGCATTCTCCCTCTCGCCCAACATCCCTGCAACAGCGCGCGGGCGCACCTTGATCAATCGCAGCGGCGGCTTGCCGCCGTCGCGCAGAGCTATCAGCCTCAAACCTCGCTGCAGGTACCTCTGCCGAGCAGACGATGCAGCAGGAGGAGGGATGGACTAGGAGGAACGCGGAGGGCGGCAAAGGGCAGGGTGGCAGGTAGAAGGTACCGCGTATCGATGGTAATAGATGCGTTCGAGAGGACACGCGTGCTTCTGTTGGGCGCCTGGTGTGTCGCACATCGTCGCGCTCTGCGTCGAAATGCTCCCCCGATCGAATCAGGATTCGACGCAGGAAAGAACTAGTCAACTCTCTGAACGTCCTGCATGCCTGCATGCGCTCCACTCCTGCCTGGCGTCACATCGCCTCGTATGTCGGGCCCTGTGTGGGTGTCGTGTCGTGCCACGTCACGCCATGTCTTGCTTTGATGTACTCAGCACGATTGAGACAACGAACGGACACACGCACGCGGAGTTGCAGGCTAAGGGCAGCTTGAGCAAAGTACCACTTGCTTCGTTCACTCCTGCAGAAGCGAACGGTGTCAGAGAGAAAGCGACTGAAACTTTTGAATTCCACAGTATCGGAGTCAGCATTATGGCGCGCTGAGTCCTGGATTCTCACAGCCCACACAGAAACGGATGCTTCGAGCAATGGCAGTCCCGCGTCGAAGGCCAGACGAGGAGAACGTCCCATGGATCAAACGCGCGACGGCCATTACGGATAGGAAATCACGGAGCGCTGGAGTCCAATGCTGGGCGAAAGCCCACGTGTCCGCCAAGTGGACCTGCAAACAGCGACGGGGGCGAGAAGAGTACGGTACGCCAACTTCGTGCCGAACTGCATTCATTCTGCATGGGCGCTCAAGGGCACAACGCCTGCAGACAGGGAGGTTGTGGAGAAGAGTACGGCACGCCAAATGCGTGCCGAACTGCATTCATTCTGCACCAGCGCTGAGAGGACGACGGCGAGGAGGGCGGAGTGGGAAAAGGAAAAGGATGAAAAGGACGGAGGAGGAAGAGGGAGAATGGGGGTGGGTGCAAGCATGCTCCGCCGCCAGCAGGTGGAGACCTTTGAGGTGGAGCAGATGAGATAAAAACTATCCCAGATGCGACAACAGGATATCATCTGCGACGTGTGCCGCGGCAGGGAGCCCATCCCAGAGCGGAAAAACAACGTCGCTGCGACAACCAACAAAAGAAAACAATGAAACGTGTTCGCCACCGTGACCCGACCCGCCTCCTCCACCCACCCGACCACCCTTCGTCTCATTTGCTACTTCCCTCGTACATCCTGTACTCGACAGTGCGGCAATTAACTACTGCCAAAGCTGTCTCTGAAATGCATTTGAAACCTGATAGCAGACGGAGAATCCCCTGTCCCATGATTCAGGGCGAATGCGTAGACCAAATACGTGCTCCTCCTCCCTATTCCTGGCGAGGCATCAGCGGAGGCAGGTCTAAATTCGAGCACAGGGCCTGCCAACAGCAAGAGGAAAACGGAGACCCATCCGACCTCAAGCAGGCGCGGTGGAAAGTTCTACCTCCCGTGCATCGCATTCAGAAAGCTTCTTATTACCCCAAGATCGGCACTCCCTAATCGCAAGACTTCTGCCGATGTGTGAGATCCGTCATGCTGACGTCGTTTACCGAGGAAACGTTGGCAAACACCTGATCAGAAGATTGCCGAACGCATGTAACGTATTTGGCATTGATAATTCTATCGGGGTGGAAAAACAACGACGGCACTCTCGAGTGCAACTCGGGCATTGCGCTCTGGTCGACCTTTTGCGGGATTTGGGCCAGCTGATCATGAGGAGCCAGAAACTGGCCCCATAGCTGGATGCGCAAGTAACCTGAAATAAGATGCCTGCCTGTGGTAAAAGGCAAACTCTGGCGGGTCATTCCAAAACACAATCCCGCGCAACGACAGCATCTCGTTATTTGTGAAGGCCCGAACATTATGAACCGCCTCCATGTAGCAGATGTCTCCCTCACATGAAAGGCACAAAGTCTGTTGGTGCCGATTCCTGACGTGGAAAGGCTGCCAGTCAACCATTTCAATCATACTTCGCTCCAGTGCAGAGTGAGTGGTCTTACGTACGTGCCAGGTTTCACATTCAGTTCCCAGCTTTGCGAACCCGGTTCCACAATCAACGTGGGATGCTGCCTTGTGAACAAACACTGAGGCGTAGCAAAATCTTGGCCACCAAAGCGTTTGAGCTATAATGAATTCGCGCCCAGATGCGTGTGAGAAGAGAAGCTGTCTGGATCAAAGAAGCCTGCCCCTGGTGCTTCGTATTCTTTCGAGAAGAGTGATGTAGTTCCGGCTCGCAATTTGAACCCTATCTGAGCTGTAGTTGTGCCTTCCCAATACGCAGTACTGAGCGGCCAGAAACCATAACGCCTATCAGTATAAATGACAAGATCTGTGTTGACCCCTAGTTTATATTCCCGAGCGTCCCCTACCAATCGATCATCATCAAGACGCAATTCACACTTGACTTTGGTCCCAGCGGGGTAATACACAGCCCACCCGTCCGTCTCATTCACTACGTCGTAGCGCTTGAGATACTAATTCATGCCACCAGCACCACCCACTTCTAGAAAAGGAGCCTGGTACTCAAACACCTCCTGACCGTACCACACGTCTGCGATATTGGACCTGCACACGAGGTGATGCACACGGAGGGGAGGCCACGCAAAAAGCTCCGTACCCGTCTTATCGGTAACCGCTACGTGTGCCGACTTCGTTGTCAGGCGCTGGAAAAGGCCTGCCATCGGTGGCCCCTACAATCACATTATTGCCGGGGCCGAGGTAAAATCAAACTTGACTGCCCGCTGCTCGGTGCCAGACCCCCCCCCCAGATTCTCATCCTTAATGCACTTGTCGGAATAAAACTGAGATCGTTCTGCGCTGCGGTGCAGCAGCGACTTCGTCGCCAGACAACTGAGGGCTAGCTGGAAGCTGGCAGTGAAGCAGCATACACGAAATAGCGCTGAGTTTCGCATGGTGACTGGTGGCTCTACAAGCCACTTCTGCGCTGCAGTTAGAGCCCCCTTGAGCCAAAATGGCTACGGATGCCCGCCAAGTGGAACTGCGCTGGCACGCAGGCGAACATGGAAAGTGATAGATGGGCAAAGGGAACGGCCGAGTGGACAGACCACAAGAAGTGGATCCACCAGGAGCAGTCCTCACGATACCGACCATATCGATCGAAACCAGGTCGCTGTACCAGGTGGGAAAATTAGATATGCAAACTGGCCGCTTCCAAAGGTTTGCCTTCCTGGACAACTGCTGCTTCAGATTCTACGGCACGGAAAAATCTGCGAGTGAGTATGTAAATGTTTGTTGGAGGTGGCGCCTGGACGGGCATTGCGTCTACAGAGAAGAATATGTGCACTTCGGATGTGTTCATCGCAGTCCCTCGAAATCCCTCGCCATCATCCATCCATCCCTCGTCATCCACCCTTCGTCATCATCCTGCGGTGCGACGTCTGGCATCAACCTGCTCGCTTCGCCTGAAAGCAGCGCTTGGCTGCATCTCGCAGGTGTTCTGCCACTTCGGCGTGGCAATGTGCTGTATCACCCGCGCGCCCCAGTGGGCCTTGGCCCCCCCGCCCCCTCCCTTCTTCTCCCTCCCGTCCCTCCCTCGCTCACCCTTTCCTCGGCACGTTTCCGCTTGGTGGCCAGAGGTCCTCGCGGAAGCCTCTCGGGGGAGTCGGGCGTTGCTCCCAGACTACGACGACGGCGGCGGCGGTTATGATGAGGGACAGCGACGACGACGACGGCGACGACGGCGATGACAACAACAACTCACAAACAGGCGGTGAGCAGGTACCTCCCCTCTCCTTAGTCTCCTTCCTGGTCATACCCCCTTCCTGCTCTTCCTCCTTCCTCCCTTTCCCCCCTTCCTCCTCCTGGGGCCGCCGCCTTACTCCTCCGTCCTCTCCTCATCCATCCTGGCGAGGGCCCCCCTTCCTGGCGACCCCCTCCCCTCTCCGTCCTCTTCCTCGTCGCCGCAGCCCCTCACTCCTCTTTCCCCCTCCTCCCTCCTCCCTCCTCCTGCGCCCGTCCTTCTCCCTACATCAAGGTGTTCACCGGGCTCTGAATGGACAGAAGTCTGAAGTGCAACTCGAGCGACTCGCTCGAGCATCCCCAAGATCTGGCAATCCACCAAGCCGGCAAACCGCCTGAGCCATCCCTGCCATCCAGCCGCGCGAACGGGGCCGCGAAACCACCCCTTGCGGCTCCCCCAGTGGGGAGCTGAAGCCAGCAGATCAGCTGACACATCCTCACGACCTGCTCTGAAAGCACCGAAGTCCAAACCACCAAAGAGACAAATCGCCCGAGATATCCCCAAAATCTGGCCGCGAGCGGTGCTGTAGAGCAGTCTGAAGGATCCCTCTTGGGCTGCTGAAACCAGCAAGTCGGCTACGGCATCCTCACAATCTGCTCTGTCTGAGTGCGAGTGCGTCACGAGTCCAAGTGCGAATGAGGCTGATTGTGAGTGAGTCTGAGTGTTACTCTGAGTGTGAGAGAGTCTGAGTGTGAGTGAGTCTGAGTATGACTGAGTGCGAGTGAGTATGAGTGTGAATGAGTATGGGCATGCGTGAGTCGGAATGCGAGTGAGCCTGGGTATGAGTCTGAGCATGAGAGAGTATGAGTGGGGGAGAGGAGGGAGTGAGTGAGTCTGAGTTTGAGTGAACCCGAGTCTGAGTGAGTCTGAATATGACTGAGTCTGAGTGCGAGTGAGTCTGAAGGTGAGAAAGTCTGGGCATGAGTGAGTCTGAGTGCGAGTGAGCCTGGGCATGAGCAAGACTGAGTGAGGAAGAGGTGGATGTGAGTGAGTCTGGATGTGAAAAAGCCTGTGTATGAATGAGTCTGAGCAGTGAGTGAGTCTGCGTGAGGGAGTGGAAAGATGCGAGTGAGTCAGAGTGTGAGTGAGCCTGAGTACGAGGGATTCTGAGTATGACTGAGTGTGAGTGCGAGTGAACCTGAGACAATCTGCTGCAGGAAGAGAAGAGAGGAGGAGGAGGAGGAGGAGGAGGAGGAGAAGGAGGAGGAGGAGGAGGAGGAGGAGGATGAGGTGTATGAGGTGTGAGTCGTAGGCGTCGGAGTAACGACAATAAGCCCGTCTATAGGATATGGGGAAAAATGGCGGGATGACGTGTTCGGGGGCGGGGGGGAGTCCGGACCCCCGCCCCAAAGAAATGTGAATATGGGGTTCCCATGGAGGTGTCTGCAACTGAAACTCCCCACTGCTCGCCGCACCTTCAACATAATTACCAAAGGCAATCCATCTTAAGCCCCGTTATCACGCTGCCTCTGAAATTCCCAAGTACAGCAGGGGCCCGACCACAAGAAACCTCCCACAAGAAACCTTCCACAAGAAAACTTCCACAAGAAACCTTCCACAAGAAACCTTCCACAAGAAAATCCTGAGACCCCAGGGCGTCCATCGATTTTCGATGTGGGAACATCACGCTTTCCAGTGCAAAACCATCGAAACCCAAGAAACCCAAGGCACCCTGGAGGCAAGCAAGGTGTTTCTTGGCATGGGTCTCCACTGTAAGAAAAAGCACTTTCCAAGACGGCGTCGGAAAGGATCGCGCTGTTCGCCCCCATCGTTCGGAGTTGCCGCGGCCAGCGCAGGGGCACTCCATGGCCTCCGAGTCCATGTGGCTCAACACTGGTGGCAGAGATGCCGGCTGCTCCTCTGGCCGCTGCTCTTGGCGGGGGAAGCACGAGGCAATAATTCCTCCTCCTGATCATCAGTAACTATTATTGGTCCTGCTTGCCCCCGACTGCTCTGTCCGCAATGATCCCCTGTGTCCCATACTGCCGCCACCATGCCTGCACACAATGTCGAGGCTTGTTACAATGCCTGGTAGAAGTTCCGACGCTTCTTTGGTACCAATATCCCCCCTCATCGTAGATCTGGGTAGACCTTCCCACTAGTTTTGCGCTCCGTCGCACTTTCGGCCGACGCACCGCTCACAGCCAGACAAACATCGTCCCCAAGACCATCCGTGTAGACGACTCATACTCCACAAACGCTCTGAGATGCCCCCAAAGGCCCCAAAGAGATGCCCAAATCACAAGACAGCTCGCCGCTTGGGCCCCACCGCCAGCCCATACGGCGAGCATAAATCGTGCGTAGCCACGCAAGCATTCGAATGCCCACACTTCGTCCTCGAACTACTCGTGTTCCTCCCCGTCCTCCTCCCTATCCTGATCGTCGTCGTCGTCCTCCTCCTCCTCGTCCTCATCCTCCTCGTCTTCCTCGTCTTAAAACCGTCTCCGATCGGTTGCGCCATAGGTTGCGCCCTTGGCGGCCGAGAATAAAACCGTCGCGTAACGGGTGCGACCAGTCTGTTCTGTTCAGTTCAGTTCAGTTCAGTTCAGTTCAGCTTACCCTGCGAGAAACACATGCGGGCTACGCCCGAAATGAAGAGGCTCCAGCACAGCCCAGGGCCCCCCAGATACCCCCAAGAGCCCTTCGAGAGGCACCCGAGAGGCATCCCACGAGCCCCTCATGTTCGGGGGCGCGCAAACATGGATTAGCGATCCATGGATTTGGCGCGCGGTCGCCAAGTCCATGGATCGGGGAAAGCGCCCCCGCCCCAAAATGCGGCCGGTGCCGCCTCGCTCGGCGGCGGAAATCCGCGGTGGCCCATGCCCGTCGCTAACCCACGCCCCCTTCCATCCATGTTTGCGATCGCCTGACCCTTGGGGCGAGTGAGGAGGAGATGGAGGAGGAGGAGGAGGAGGAGGAGGAGGCGGAAAAGGAGGAGGAGGAGGAGGAGGAGGAGGAAAAGGAGGGGGAGGAGGACGAGGGGGGGAGGAGCTCCCGACCCGCCAGATACCTCCCAGGGTCAGCTCCAGCACTCGCTCCTCCCAAGGGGGGGGTCGGCGGCGCGGCCCCCTCGCGCCAGGAACGGGAGTGGCTGCCTCCGACGCGCTGCGGCTGACTGCCTACCAGACCACCCCAACCCGACCCGAAGACCCGAATTTCGGGGGGAGACCACCCCAACCCCAACCCAACCCAACCCAACCCAGGGGGGGGGGGGGGACCATCCCAACCCAACCCAACCCTACCAGACCACCCCAACCCAACCCAGGCCACCCCAACCCGACCCGACCTGCCTGCTGACCCGAAGACCTGAGTCTCGGGAGGGGGGGGGTACGGGTTCCATCAGTGTTGTCTCAATGTTCCCCGCCCTCCCCCCACCACTCTGGAAATCAAGGGCAAGCTGAGGCCTTCGGGTTGGGTTGGGGTGGTTTGGTGGGTGGTGATCTGCTTCATGCTGTGCAAGGGGCCACGTCAGGGCCCCGCCAGGGCTGCGCCTTACGGCGCGCACTTACAAATACCACATGTGGTCCGTTTACACGCCCCGTGCTCTAGCATCGACGCGCCTCCTGGCGGGTGCATGCGATGGCAGAGTGAACTTGGATGTTCGCACGGTGGCCACTTGCAGGCCTGTCGCGCACTGACCAGACCACAGAATTGTGAATGTCCAACTCTCTCACAACACGGACGTTTGATCATGAGAGAGCTGCATCGCGCGGAGGAAAATGAAGCAGATTCTGAGTATCGTTTAACCAATCCCCATCCCCACCAGCGTGGGCTGGGGCCCCACTGGCCGATTTACCCCCCTGGATGGGGATATAGGCTGCTCTCTTCGGGTTTCGAGGGGCATATCCCCAAATGAGGTGGTGAGACAGTGGAGCTCGAGATGTGGATGGGGATGGGGATAGGGAACGGTTAAACGATACTGAGATTCCAGGAAGTCCCCCATGAGAGCCCAAAGCGGACCAAGTCGGCGATGAGACGGCCCAAGAACCTCTCGGGACGAGCCGAGGCAGTCCCAAAGATGGGCAGAACGATCCTTCTCGGAAGAGCTTGGGAGGAGGGAGGAGGGAGGAGGGAGGAGGGGAGGTCGCCCAAAATGGCGCTGAAACTCCAAGCAAGCTCCCAAGAGGGCACACATCCGCCAGCACGCCCCTGGCTCACTGGGGCGTGGCATGATAACGGCTGTCGGACATGGCTACGTATCATCTAAGTCTCCTCTCTCCACTGGCAGAATGATGCACGCCCCCCCACTCCCGAGGCCACGACCCCTCAAACAACCAATATTCTCCGTAAACACTATGGATCCGCCACCGAGCCTCTCTGGGCACGGAGTGGGCGTGCCCTCAGGTCTTTTGCCTAATCCCTGGAGCCGCAGTCCTCAGTACTGAGGAGCCTTCAAGGGGCCCAGACCCAAAATTCTCAAATTTGGCGGGGCGTGCAGCGGTTCCTCTGGGATTCCCAGCGTGCTCCCCGAGCTCCCCCGCATCATGTCGCGTGACATGTTAGGGCCCAATAAGGCCCCGAGGCGGGCCAGGAGGGCTCCAAGAGGCCCTCATGACGGCCCAAGAGGGCCATGAGTCGCCGAACGATCGCTCCAAGACGCCGAAGATGGCCCCAAGACAGTCCAAGAGGCCACCAAAATACCCCAAAGAGGCCCCCGATAGACCTCCAAAGAGGGCTCCAAGAAGCCAAAATCATTTAGTGCCTTAGGCTGTTCAAGGTTGGCCTTCAACAGCCTTTTCGGTTTTTCGACGGAGGCCCCAAAGACCATCACAAAACGGCCCACGAGGCCTCCAAGAGGGCCCCAAGAAGGCTCAAGAGTGCCCTAAGACGGCCGACGAGGCGCCGAAGACGGCCCAAGAGGGCCCCAAGACGGCCTCAAAAATGGCCCAAGAGAGGGAAGATGAACGGAAAATTCCAGCCTTCCGCCCCAAGAGGCCCTGAAACGCCCCGAGTTGCGCCCAGGAGCCCAGGAAACCCCAACGCCCCAAGAGGCCACAAGAGGCCGCCAAGAGGCCCCAAAGAGGCACCCAAGAGGCCCCAAAACGGCCCCCAAGGGGCATCCAAACTGCCTCCAAGAGGCCCCCGAGAGGCCTCCTCCCACGAGATCCCAACGAAAATCCCATAGGCTTCATACCCACAACCCTGGCACGGTGGCGGGATGGGCTCAAGGCCATTCGAGATACGCGCTCTCGAGCTTCCGAGACGGCCGATGCAGGCAACCAAGGCCGCCAAGATGGCCCGATATACGTTCAAAACGACTCCTGGGCGGCTCAAGCTGGCCTCAAGATGGCCGAGGATGCTTCAAGAGTCCTCAGAGGGCGACCTGAGGACCCCCAGCAGGACCCAAACAAACCAAATCATGGATGTTCCCCTGGTCTTTGACGGAAATATGCGTTCTCGCCTGTTCGTGCTCCCGTCAGCTGGTGACGGCCCAAGACGCCTCCAGGATGGCCCGAGGAGTCTCCGAGATGGCCCGAAGACGGCCCAAGAGGACCCCACGATGACCCAAGAGGCCTCGAAGACAGCCCCAAGACGGCCCAAGACGGCCTGAGGAGAGACCCAAGACGGCTTCAGAGGGCCCGTCGACGGCTGAAGGCGGTTCCAGGACAGCCCCACGACGGCCCCAGGACGCGCACCGTGCGGCCGAGGGGGTCTCACGACGACCCACGAGAGGTTCCCACGTCGGTCTGCGAGGGCTCCCGGACGGCGCAAGAAGCCCGGGGGCCCAGGGGACCCACAAGGCAGCCCCACGGGAGCCCGGTACAGACTCACGACGGCTTAGTGAGCTCCGTGAGAGTTCCCCCAAGAGTGAAGACGAACGAAAGGCGTCAGGCGCAAAAGGCCTTCCTCAGCCTCCTCCTCCTCCGAGCCTCCTCCTCCTCCTCATTATTCTCCATCCCTTTCCCTGACAAATTCACCGGCCCTTCGACAAGTGGGAGACTTTTGTCCGTTTGAGTCGTCGTCATCGTCGTCGTCATCCTCGTCGTCATCGCCGCCGCCGTCGTCGTCGTCGCCAGCTCCAAGGAAATGGAGGAACAAGAACAAGAAATGTCATAGGCTAGTCGATTCCCTTCCCTTCCTCCATTGCCTGCCAGGGGGGGCAATAGTTTTCCTTTTTCCTCCCCCCCCCCCCAGGCGCCAGCAGCAACGGGGAGGGAAGGGAGGGGCCCTGTCCTCCCACGCTCCCCCCCCCCTCTCCTCGCGCCCCCCTTCCCTCCTCCCCCCTGTGCATTGGGAAAAAAACGGAGAACAGTACCAGTGTTTGTTCTAACGCCGTGCCCAACCAGTATTAGTGTTACATAAACGAAATGGCAGCACTGTAACAGTCCTGTAGCTGTAGTAGTACTAGTACTCAGGTCGTGCAGTAATGATCATATCCTACAGTGTTTGCTGTAGTAGTCGCACTATATTTTGTAGTAGAGGTACTCCACTACTGTAAAACTCGCATACAATAGTATTGCCGCCGAAATGTGTACTAGAGCGGTAGTGCTGTAGGAATAGTGCTGCACGACTGCGGAGCAGTACTGCTATTGTAGTAGTGGTACTGTAGAGCAATACTCTAGCACAGCGCTCCCTATAATAATAATCGGCTGTTGCCTGCAGCGAATGTCTTACAGTACTGTAATAAGAGTACTCAAATGCCGCAACCCGCGTTGTTGTAGTAGTCTGGTACTGTAATGCTGCAGCGGTGGCGCTGCAATAGTCGTAGCACAGTACTGTAGCAGTCGTGCTCCAGTAGTGCTACTCTAGGACTGTAGTCGTGGATAATACCGTGCCCAGCCCGAACCAATATTGTATCAGTGAAGTGGCAGCGCAATAGTCATCCAATCAGTAGTCGTAGTAGTCGCCGTAGTAGTA